ACACCCCTTCCTTCGATATAGCATGTCCTAGGAATGCGGTTTGCTCGAGCCAAAATCCACACTTGCTCAACTTTGCATACAACTTCTTTTCCCTGAGTACCTGTAGGACTTGGGCAAGATGATGAGCATGTTCTTTCCTACTTTTTGAGTAGACTAAGATATCATTGATGAACACGATGACAAATTGATCCAAGAATTCTCTGAAGATTCTGTTCATTAGATCCATAAAGATGGCCGGGGCGTTGGTTAGCCCAAACGGCATAACCAGGAACTCATAGTGTCCGTACCTGATTCGGAATGCCGTCTTGGGGATATCTTCTGCTCTCACTTTTACCTGATGGTAACCTGATCATAGATCTATTTTAGAAAAGACCTGTGCACCCTGCAACTGATCGAAAAGGTCATCAATCCGGGGAAGAGGGTACTTGTTCTTAATTGTTACCTTGTTTATCCTTCTGTAATCAATGCACAGTCTCAACGTTCCATCTCCTTTCTTTACAAAAGTAACCCCGGCACCCCATGGGGAAACGCTGTGTCTAATGAAGCCACTGTTTTGTAGCTCAGTGATCTGTTTCCTTAGTTCTTCCATCTCGATGCGGCTCATTCGGTAAGGAGCTACAGAGATGGGCTGGGTACCTGGCTGTAAGTCTATGGTGAACTCGACCTCTCTGTCCGCTGGTAGACCGAGCAGTTCATCCGGAAATACGTCTGAAAAGTCTCGGACTACTGGAATCTCTTGGATACAAACTTCTTTCTTGGGTTTATCTAGTTAGAGAAAATACAAGATTAAGGCACTGGGAATTAAGAAAAACTTGCGATTAGGGGGAATCAGTACTGAATAATTTTATTAACTCCTAAATGGCTCCTCGTTGGGAGGATTAAATACAATCTTTTTGTTAAAGCAGTCTATGGTGGTGTGATACGCTGCTAGCCAGTATTGGGCCTCTTCAAAAGAGGATCCCCTTGCAAAAGTAAAAGGGTTCAGTCTTCTGTACCTCTCTATGAAGCCGGGGTCGATCAAGGAAGGAGCGGGGTCCCGGGGTAGAGGGACTGGGGCCGGCTGAGGGTGAACTGGAGGACCCTGGGGTGGCACCTGCTGATGTGGTGGGGGTACTGGAATATGCTGTGGCGGCGCCTGCTGGTACCGTGGCTGGAACAGGCTCCTGCCGGGGTGGCTCGGGATCAGCCTGCTGTAGCGAGGGCTCAACCTGCGCTAGCGGAGGAGGTCCGGGTAACTCCCTTCTCTCCTCTTGCCTTTGCTGGGCAGCTACGAGAGCCTCCACCATCTCAAATAGTCTGTCTAAATCCTCCCGAAGTGAATTATCTTGGGCCGCTCGGTTTAGTGGGGGCCTTCCTCTCCTCATTCCCGTGTACTCGTTTTCACAAGGAATGATTGAGTAACGATATATCGGTGAGTATTACTCTAACGCACTATTGTGTAAGGGATGGGTCCGAGGAAACGCGGCTCTGATACCAACTGTAACAGCCCCGGAAATTCATAATGAAATGTATATTAAAAATATCAAATGCGGAAGCGAAGTCAAAATTTGATAACATCCCTTACACTAAAACCAAAAACGTGCTCACAAATATAAAGATCAAACTACCTAA